CTTGAATTATCTCAGCACAGACCCCAAATGACCCCAACCAGCTTCAAAACGATTCGCTCAGACCGGTTTCTTGGTGCGCCCGACCTTCCCCAAAAAAATTTGTTCGGCCACACTCCTCTGTAGCTGTTGAACATGCTCACGACAAATTGAGAATGTCAATGTCCAATGCGTCTCACAGGCGCATCATCGCCCATTGTGAGACGGGCCCCTACGCGAACCCGCTTCTTTCGCGGGCGTCTGATCGGGCCACAGGGCTCAGGGGCGCGGCCAGTCAGTGTGGCCAGGGCTGGTCAGCGCACGTCAGCGCGGCCAGAGGACAACAGCAGGACAAGGGGCGCGGCCACAGATCCGGCCACAGACAGGGGCGCGGCCAACACAAGGACAACACGAGGACAAGGCCCGGACACAGAGCCGGGCCACAAAGCCCAGCCACAGAGTTCACGGGGCGGCTAGTGAGTGTGGCCAGCTCTTTTTTCTTCTAAGATAGAAGCCTAACAGTACACTGCTTGGGCCCAAGAGTACACTTTTTGAGGAAAAAGTCCTGACGAGGAGTATGAAACGTATGAAAGCACAATGTGGGATAGATTCCAAAAGCACAAAGAACTGGCATAGCAGGACGGCAAGAGGACGGAGGTGGAGAAACTCCTCAAATAGAAATTTTGAAAATAGTGCCTCCCCACAAGTTCGGCTTATCAGACAGAAAAATGATCGGATCTTGCCATAACATTTCGTTATTACGAAGAAACCAAATGAAAAAAAAACGGAAAATTAAAAAAAACAACATTTAAAAAAAACATGTTGCAGTGCACCTTGAATCACGCAATATTATTGCACAACGAACAAGAATTTGATGTCCTTCAACCTGAGACAGTGAAGTGGTGCTGAAGTTAGCCTGTTGGCTTGGAATATATCCATCACGCAGCTTTGAACCTATCATCCAGGCACCCAAAATACAAGCACGCAATTTGTCCCTGGGTGTCCCAATGCCTCTACATACCAAAACTCTGCATCTCTAGGTAAGCGTTTTTCCCCTGGAACTTGAACAGCGATTCATTCCAATAACATGGCACTTGCGAAATTGCTGAGATCAAACTGATTATGTTAGCACACATTCTTTTGGTTTTCTAGGTCCAGGGTTTCACTAATGTACGTAACATTGTCTGTTGGTACCTGCTGCTGCCTCAGGGGGCGGCATCCGGTTCCATCCGGGTTCCGAATCGGTGCCGCCGGTGCCGTCGAATCGGCCGTGCATGTGGTGCCAGCCACGTCGAATCGGTGCCGTCTGTGTCACGTCGCTTCCTCGCCAGCCAGCTCCACGCTTTCACGAGCTTGGCTGTCTCGGGTGTGTTTTCCAATACAAACGGAGGCCGAGCCGCAGCACCCGCACCCGCACCGAGCGAAAGCACCAGCACAGCACTGGACGGAGCACAAACAAATTGTGGTCCCAACGGAGTTCGTTGTGGGAATGGTCCTCCTACCCACCAAGGCTTTCATGGTCCTGGTATAAAATCCTTTCAGACGGTGGCAGTCAAGAACAAAGGCCGGAAGCTGGAAGAGCTTCTGGAGGCGGTCCTCGGACCAGCTCGAGGCATCTGTCACCCTCCACCGAAGTCCGAAGTCTGACTCCACCGTCACAGCGGTCCGATCGACGGAGGCGTTTGGCCATGCCAAAGCGGTGTCGTCATGCTTTCTTGGTCAAGTCACTGTTACCCTCCTTGATCTCGCTTTTGCGCTGCGCTAGTTGGGAAACGACATAGAAAATACATGAAGATACTGCTATATACTGGCTATACTTATGCTGCCTTGAATTATTCCCTGTATTTCTTCGATCTTGCTGTTTCAATGACAAGTTGATTTCCCGAACTTTGCTGTGTTTCTTTCTGCCCAGCCACTGTAGTTGGATGTTTGGCATCTTTTCCTCCCCTGACGGGATTTGTTCTATACTATCTGTTTCCTTCCTTCATTTCAGTTCATGTCTTTTAATAGTCAGTTAGTAACAGTTAGTTGTTTTCCATTCTTTTCAACCTTTTTCCATCCATCCTCTCAACCCTTGATCCAATGTTGTCTCCATTCACGCCGCCGCATGACCGCTCGGCCAGGATCTCGCCGCATCTCGCCGCTTGGGCCGCTGGGTGGGAGCCTGGAGTGGAGAGACTCGAGTCAGACTCCACCGGCGATTTCGACCTGATCAGATTCGTGAAGGCGGTCCCTGGGTGGAGAAATCGGGCCAGAAGAAGCCGTGTGACCCGGGTCTCTCCCGCTTTTCGAATTCGCCATGTCTCAGATGCTCCGCGTGGTCTGAAGAGGGGTTGCCGGTCTGAATTGCGGGTCGTCAGACTGCAGAGCTCACGTCGCGCGGGGTCATTCTCGGCCAATGAGACTCAGATCTCCGTCCGCCGTTGGTGTTTCCCCGCGTTGATCGTGACGTTCGCGCGGGACGAGGCGTGCGCGTGCTAAGCGGTGACGGCATACGCAACCGTGTTCCGCGTGCGGGTTCTGCGTGTGAGGTGGTTGCAAAGGACCATGATCCCAAATGGGACCAAACTGGAAAGGAACCAACAGCCGTGTCAGCAAGTAGTTTGTGGAGAACAGGATGACTTTGTCCTGCTTTGTCTCAAAGGTGAGGGGTCCGGCCCAAAGAAAACACACCTCTGGTACACATGTATCTGAACAAGTTCCTTTTGAGACCAGCAAGCATAGCTGCTCCTCTTTTGTTGCTCACTTCTCAACCGAGCTGCTCAGCCGACCTCGAGCAGAGTGGCTGGCTCGCACTACTGTGGAGCAGCGCAAAGCCTCGGCCCTTGGAATACCAGGTCACATCAAGGCACGTCACCAATCGTTGGAAAATGTTGGAAACTGAGGGTTGGCCCAACAGCCCAACAGGCTGGCTTTAACACAACCGCACTCATCGGTTCGCTACTTTTCCTGGCCATGGACGCCTTTAGGAAACATGAATGATCATGAATGATTGCAACGAAAACCGGGAGATCTCACCTTGCCAATCCGTTTAAAAAACGATTGCAATTGGTTGCAGTTGGCCCCCTCAAGTGGTGCAAGAAGCTCGTCCATCAACAGCCTTCTCTTGTGCCGAACGTAGAGATCAAGGATCAAGGTATCCAAGGTGCTGCGTACTTTGAAGGCCCTCAAAAGCCCTCAAGTATATAACTATAAGACATTGCAAAACTATCTGTCGTCAGGGTTTGCTCACAAACCTATTCAACAAATCGAAGAAGCAACCCAGAAAATGAACAACACTCAACAGGCGAATGAACAACATCGAAAGCACAACTCGCCAAACTAATTAATGCTGACAGTTGAGAAACCAAACATCATCTTCTCTCCCAGTTAGCTGCAGGGAGATGTTTGACCAGGTCAACCAGGTCGGGGAGGTTCAAAAAAAAGATACAGTCAAGTACCATGATGTTTTCATATGATTTCATGAGTCGAGTGTTCTACTTATATATTCATTCAGATCTATGTAAATATCCAAAGAAACCATGGAGAAGGACTTATTGTGGAGAAATGCTATACCGCCCCCTGTGAAACCACGAATCCCTGGCAGACCGCCCGCTCCGTTCGCTGCCCCACGCGGTGAGACGTGGGTGAAACTGGGGCGACAGCGCCCGGCGGTGTCCGAGGCGAGCCCAGGTGGGAATCAAGATCACGTGGCACTTGGCTTCAGTGGCACTTCTTGGGTTCAGTGGCGCGTTAGGCGGCGAAGCAACGATTTCAGCATGTTTCACCTGAACTTTTAAGAGGATCCAAGAAGTTGTTAGTATTGTTTCGTCTGCACCCCTGCTCAGGTTGAGGGGACTCTAGTAAGATCAAGCCACTTCATGCCTGGTCCTGTCATAAGTCCCAACCAGTTCACCGCCACGGTCACCACTCCATTGGCTGCCAAAGCTCCTCTCACTGGTTGGGCGACTCTTTGACTTCATCGACCCATCGTAACCGCGTCCCAGCCTGGCGCCACGTGGTGTTCGGAACGCACCAGACTGTCGGTGGGTTGGGCCTATGACTCTAATCCATGGATGGGCTGCTGGGCAGGCCCACTTGGCCCAGCCCTCAACGGCCAAGAGCGCGTTTCCTGAGCGGTTCCCGTTTCCTTCGCTCGAAGAGCCTCCGGAGCTCCTCCCGGTGTCTCGAGAGATCCAAAGACATCCCGACGAGGTGTCCAAAGGACCGGTGCGTTTCGTCCCGGATCGTGGTTTTGGGACTGATTGGAAGGGGGGGGGTTGCCCCAAAAACCAAGCACTGCTGGCTGTGGGTCCTTGTGGGTTGTGCTTGGTACAGTAACTGTATCTTTTTATATAGATCTATGATCTATAGGACTAGAATATATTAGAATGATTTAGAACTATATATAGGGTATGTATAAATAACTTAATGCTCCATTGTTCTGTTATGTTATCATCGTCCCTTCTGCCCACATGTTTGGAAGATTTCAGAGATGTTCCATATTTGTCCATTTTTCTTGATTTTCAGACGACATCGGCTGTCACCCATGCCACTTCATCTACGCACCGTGGGTACGGGTCACTCCATGGCTTCAGACGGACCCCCACGACGTGGAACATGACGGAGTCCAAGTGAGCGGACGTCTGTTGCTGTGTTCGGTGCTGTGTTCAAGCGGACGTCTGTTGCGAACACGAAAGAAGACGTGGATGTACGTTCTGGAAGATTTACATGGAACATGAAAGCCACCGGGTTTTAGAATCTTCCAGTCTGGCCCATTGGTTCCATGTTACTGTAGTCTTCCCGATTGTATAATGATCTGATCTGCGCCCGGAGGTGCCGCCCTGCCTTATGAAAAAACGGACACCATGTCCAACGTGCATGATCGTGTGTTGACCCTTCCACAAGTCAATGGGAACCTTGAGAAGTTCCACCTGGCCACGTTTTTGTAAGAGATGGTATGTCCTTCACAGAAGAATGTCTAAGCTTAGGGTTGTACCAGTATGTTCCATTTCCCCGCACTCCGCCCACGGCTTTCTGCTGGCTCAGTCGTTCCGCGTCCGCTCCTTCCAGAGCCCCTCGCGACTGATGCCCTTGGCATCAATGTAACGACCTGGGAAGATCTTCCAGTCGCAAAGACGGAAACCCAGGCCGGTGCAGGGTGAGTTTTGCGATGGAGGATAGGCTCGCTGTTGCTGAACCAAACAAATCCATGCATGGAAATAACAGTTGACTGTTACCAGTACTATGTTGTGTTGTGTATGTTGTGGAATCGATGTGGCAAGTATAACCGCGCAATAGCTACGGTACAGGATCAGCTCAATACAGTTGCACGCAGTACCCTCATGAATATCCACTTCAACAAAGAGTTAAGGGACTCTTATCTACCCATTTGCTTTGGGGTGGCAAGTGGTACACACCTCTCTATAACATTCTATAACCAAACAGTGGTTCCTGATGGTTTCTGGTACTTTCCAGGATGTTTGATATGTATTCTTGGTGTTCCCAAGCCTTCCAGCTGTCGAGGAGCCGGTGCCATGCTGCTTCCCTTCGAGCCACTGCCCCACATAGCAGCGACCTCGCAACCGGCAGCTTGAAAGGAGATAAATAAGCTTTGCAAGGAGACACATGAGCGACTGAAATGATCAAACTCCAAAGGATAGACGATTTAAACATCATGAAACCATCCACACAACCGGCCCGGCCTAGAATCACCGCCTGCATTCGGACCGGTGCGGCTCAGCCACCTTCATACACCTTCGCTCAGCGAACACTCGCTCGCTCGCTGGGCACCCCCCAGCCATCTGGCCAAGAGAACTTTCCGTCGCCCGACTTCCGGTCATTGAGGTAGCCACCCTCATACCAGCGACCTGACCGACATCGGCGATGGCGAGCGACCTTCCGGAGATCGCTACGGCTCAGGAAACATGGTCAATCACATGGGTCTCCCTGGGAGATGATGCAATACATGGACATGTCTTGAAATACTGTTGGGAAAAAATAAATAGGCAAACAAGGGGCTAACAAATGCTAAACATGTCGATAGAATGTTCTAATATCTTGTGGTTGGGGGGGTCTCCTAAAATGTTGGACAGGACACCTGAGCTTGAACCTGGTAAACCATGTAAAACGGCATGTTGGTCTTGCCCTCGGGTCTCCTCGAACAACGTCCCACGTTCCCACCATTGCTCAGCCCGTGACCGTCGGGCCACCGCATGGTGCCATTTCCCGTCCTGAGCGCTGCGCTCGGAACGACTACGATGCCACATCAGTCACGTCTTTGTATCACGTCCTTTGCGCAAGGAACACTTAGGAAGTGTTCAACAACCCCCACATGGGCGTTGTTGAGCGATTGAAACACATGAAACTGAAAAAAACATATATTAAATCCTGCCCGGAATGTTGAGCTCGTTCTACTCGCCATACATCCAAAAGCCACGCTGGGCATCTGGTCCAGCCAACGACCAATGTGCCCTAAAGTCAGTCAGTGCAGGAAACCTTCAACTGTCTAAGTACAGTACAATGTATATGTGCGGCGGAATATATTGGGTACTAAACTCAAATACACTATATATCTGATCTATTTTGTGGGGGCCCTATCTGGCCCTATCTCGTTTAGACTACTTCAGTAGGAGGTCATGTCACAGTATCTCGTTCAGACTACTTTAGTAGATCACACTATCTCATTCAGACTACTTTAGACTTTAGTGCTATCAAGCAAAAGTATCTCGCTTATGGCACTATCTCGTTCACAAGCAAATTCTGATGATAGACAAGCAAATAGAGCATGCAGCATGCCGTAAATGACTTTAGTAAAGCATAAATAAAAGTGGTTGCTCACATAAGTTATAAGATATTTTTGTAATATAACCCCACGTCTTGCGACTTATGTTTCACCAACCCCTCCCGAAGGGACGGCATGCCGGGGGCCAAGCTAGCATTGGAGCCTATCCCTTCAGTGAAAAGGCACTACCTGCATGAAACGCGAAGGAAAGCCGTGTTGTTTGAAACCTTTCCCCTTTGGAACCATCTCAGCGATGGTCATCTAAGCCTCTGGCATCTGGCTATCTTGCCAGGTGCCCACGTACACACCTGAGAAGCGGCTCGCCTTCCATGTCTACCAACGACAAAAAACAGGCGAGTTAGGTGTGTATGTTTGACCTTGCATGTGACATCGAGAATTGATTTGCCGACATTCCCGTCTAGGAGCTAGCAATCGGTAGCTCAATCCTGAAACTGATGGGAATGAATCTGGGATTGGGGTACCAAATACAACACGCCTTTAGCTGATTCATGTTGATTCATCCGTGTTTGTCCTAAGTGGACTTCATCTTTTGTGCTGATCGACACGATCTGAAGGTGGCGGATCGGCACAGAACGAACTTGTGCACATCATTCCCTGCCTTTGCCTGACATATTATTAATATATTATGTTATTTATTTAACAAACTACAGCAGCGCTGTAAGTACAAAACACAAAGTAGACGTATTGCAGACTTGAACACACCATGCTGAACACGTTCAGGATCACACCATTCAACACCCTTCTCCTCTCAGTTTCTAAGCTGCCCCACGACCATCGGAGAAGGTGTAGGTGCCCTGATAGGAACAAACGCCCTCACCACTCTTAGTCAAGGCCTTGTAGTCATGATATTCAACTTGCTGGCAAACCCTGTCCTGGCTATCGAGTGATATGTGCGATCCCTGAATGGGCATACGTCTTCAAACTTAGACCCCTTATGACTTGATGATTGCTTCTCCACCTGCTGCTTAGCCAAGGAACAAAATGACTAGGTTTGTTTGGAAAGCAAACAGGGTGATGCAAATCCATCCAGTTTGTCCACCAAAAAAACTGTTGTTCTTTTCTCCACCTCGCCCTGCTCTGCTCGCACGGCAACGCATCGCTCCTCTCCGTGCATCGAATCGTTCACAAATTGCCCCGAGTACGACCTGGGCTGCGACAGATCTGCGAAAAAAGCATGTGGACGCCGACGGTGGAAGCAGTGACAGTGTACTGTCCTAACATCTTCGCCAAGCAAAAGTGGCTGGTGATGGCTGGGGTCAGTGCCGTCATAGTGAAGTCCACCTTTTTCGGGAAGTCACGGAAGATGTCAGGACCATCGGTATACCTTCTGATACCTTCTGCCAGTACCCCAATCTTTCTTGCGCCGAGCTTGCCACTGGGTGCCCAGGCGAGTTGTCAGAAGAAGTGAAAACGCCGTGGCCGTGCTTCTTCCCGTCCCTGCATAGAGCAAGTTGCAGCCCCAGGGGTTGGAATACTCAGTAATTAGTCCTCAACCAGTTTGCTGTCAGAACTCGTTTATGGCCACCATTCATAAACCAGCGCTTTGTGAGCCCAGGCATTCACCTTCTTTGAGTAGCTTGTGGTACATGGCATAACACCTGACAACCTGGGGTTTGGTGACAAAATCCTCAACCCAGCGCCCCATCTATGCAAAAACTCAGGGAAGCCATGCTAAAACTAGACAGAAAGGCCCAACGGGGTACCCCAACCTCCCCCAACAACTCCTCCCTCTGCCCACGACCCGCCTCCCACGCATGCTCGATCTGCTCCCCGAAACCGCTGTCGGGTCAACGACACGACACGGAGCGACACGGTCCGTCCCCACGAACGACGCGGCCTGTACTCGCCCTTGAAGGTGGAGCCGTCGGCCCAGGTTTCCAGGCCCTGACCCGACTTCATGTCCTCCGACTTCGTGGCCGACTTCGGTGTCTACGTTGGCCGAGGACAAAGGTGTCTACGGGGCGGGGGTCTGCGGACAGGGTCTGCGGAGTGCGTAGGTGTGACGGAAGGCTGTGGGAAGGACGCCTGGAAGCCTCAAGACGGCTGGTATTCCAGATGAATGGTTGGGTATTCCCGCTGGTACACCACGCATGGTCCCCAACTTACACTCCGACTCAGCAACATGGAAATGGACAACCACCTGTTTGTAGAGGAAAATTGTCTTCACAGGGGGCCATTGAAACCACTAGTGTAGCATCCCAAGTAGAGTGTTGTTTTGAATTGGATGGTTGCAAATTGCTGCAGAAAGACAAACTCCCTTACACACGCAAAAGTTGGAATCTGAAGGATTATCAAAAGCAAAAGCACATGCTCTTGTGCTCTGTGCATTTACTTTTCTAACCCCTTCTCAGATTGCCAGGCAACTGAACCGGACACGACGAGGAGGATCCAGAATGCTCTGGGCGGGCAGGACGAGCTTCATCACGGCAACTGAACCGGACTCCGAGAACACATGCAAAACAAAAAGGATGAACCAGGACTAGAGAAAGGGAAGGGGAAGGGGCACAGGAAGTGGAAGGAAGACATAATTGCAGGCCAAACCTTGAGGTTTTCCATGGTGTTCTTCTTCACCTGGCTTCTTTCGGCGCTCCTCCACCCAGTCACCAATATATGATGAGCCTGGCCAGTGCGAGGGAGTTGGAAACACTAGGTGTGAAGTGGCCCACCGGAGATCATCATAGAACTTGCAAGTAGTATAGACTAATCAGGTTGTTTTCTTTAGCAATGGCCTCCAACCTACCAGCGATGGCCTCCAAAAGCAAAAGTATGTCTTCTGCTTCCCTTGAAAACACACAAATTTATAACGGTAAAACGATATCAAGAAACTTCAACACACCCATCAAAATAAGGGAAATGTGGAGAGCACTCACTTCAATCACACGATCTTTGAGATTTCTCCCCAAAAATCGCAACACCACCAAAACGGTCTTTCTGTAGAGTTCCCCTTGGCAAAGGGAAAGACCTTGAAACCGAAAACCCACCGAAGAAAACCCCTACCAAGACTCTTCACAAAGTAAACCCGACCTGCATCGGTTTTGTGATCCCCCTGAAGATTCCAGGGGTACGTCAGAGAAGTCTAAATCTTGGCACATGTGGTCCAATAGACAAAATCCAGTAAAGAATCAAGAGCACATGGAAAATGCATGTAGTATCATGTAGTAGAATCGAGCTCACAAGATCAAACAAACATGTTCCCCCCCAAAAAATGTATTATATGGTTTCTACAAAATCAACAGGCCAGAGGTTACTAGCCACAACAACAGGACGAAAAATCCCATGATTTTTTGAGCAGCTAAAAGGGGCAGGAAGGCCTCATCTTTCTCTAAACGTATATGTTTCTCAAACAAATCAGCTGCACCACCTTCCTCAACCTCCTCTTGTGCTTACACACACACACACACACACCCTCTTGTCTAAAGAAGGTACCCCAAACTCTTGATTTAGACTACAATGATTGTACACATAGTTTAAAACAGCATGCTTAACGCACTTGATTGTCGAAGGGTTATCTGCAGGAAACTGTGTAAACATCTGCAGCTCAAGCAACCCAAGGCATGACCTGAACTTTCACTTCCTAAGCTCACTGCCCTCCCTGAAAAGAAAAAAAACATCGCCAACGCATCGCCCTCCCCTTCCGCGCATGCCCTCCCAGCCGTCCGAGTGCAGGAACTTGCCCGAGCCATGGGCCTCGGCCGGAGTGAGAAGAAATGTGTTCAAATGGTTCAAATGAACATTTTGCGGGAGAGGAGACATTGTGAGATGCTATAGATCTGCACAGATCAACACTGTTTTGGTTCATTCTCCGAACCGAGCCTTATCATCCAGCCACTGCCCTTCATAGACATCGCCGTTCGCGTGGACGAAGCGACCGCGGCCTGAGTGGGGCGGCAGGTTGGGACTGCGAAAAAGACAAGTTTTTTGGCGACTCACAAGTACATGTGTAAAACATAAGCACATAGTGCAAATCATGCACCGATGTATTCTCATGTGTAATTCATGCCAGGATATGAGCAGTGTTTGCAATGAAATATGGAAGGAAGGTAGGAAACACATGGAAACACTGTGTTTGGGAGTCATGGCAGCCTATTCACCAACCGCCTATTGCCAATCTCAACATTGGCATGTGCAGGAGCTACCCATGGTCCACCTAAAACAACTCACAGGCAGTCACAACCTCCCAAAGTGTCGTTGAAAAGAAACTCAACAATCCGTTGCAAAACAGCAGAGGCAAAATCAACAAGAATAGCATCAACAGAAGAGTCTCCAGGAGGCTCTCCACCTAAACTCCACAGGGATTGGCTGTCCGGGACTTCGCAGCAAACCCCACAAAAAGGAGGCTGAGATCCTGAAGTGGGTTAACCAATACACACAGACTCTGGAATGTAAATGTCCTGGTTTGGCCCCACGATACCGGTCCATCCCGAGGCCACGAACCACACGCTCGGTCGTTCACAAACTGTCCCTCATAACGGCCACCATCGGGCCTGGATCCGGGATCCGAAAGCTCCGATCGGCACACGGCGGAGGTCCGCCCTGTAGCCCCAAAAGCTGAGAATCAGAAAGACTTGACACAGACTTGCGTTTTTTGCCTCAGAGTTCAGAGTCTAGCTAGAGCTAGAAGACCCTCTAGTCTAGCTTAGCAATGGCAAAAACGGACTTCAGAGTTCTGCTCCACAATGAGGGGGTGCCCCTCAGTAGGGGTTGGCTGAGTTGCTACCGGATAACGGCACATCTTCCTGGTTGTCGACGAACGAGGATGGCCAAGTCCCCACATCAAACCCAAAGCTGAAGAGTCTTCAAGATTCAAGGGATACATCCGTATTGGATCAATGACCTAGGCTTGCAGAGTGATTGAACAAAAGTGTTGTACCCTCAATTCGGCTTTGCAGCACCGCAGTTATTGGCCTGGAGCACCGATGGTTCCATCCCTTCACCGGGGAAACGGCAAGAAATGGCAGTGGGCAGAGTCCTTTCGCGGGGTGTATTCGTTGTAATTGCAATTCATTTCTCTTGTGCTGTATCCTCTCCCTGCATTGGGGACCAACCAAGTTGTGCCTCAGTGACAAGCCACTGCAAGGGTTAAAAAGCAATTCCTTTCTCCTGTCACGTCTTGGCTAAAAGGGAAATGAACTTGGTATAGGACCCTGTTGACCAGTTATATAAGTCCGGTGGCCAAGGCGTATTCGCATCTGTATCTGAGCTGTCTGCTGGTCACTTGAAAACTACTGGTAAATTTCTACCGGTATCTTTGCTAGCTGCAACTTCTAACCTTTTGTGCCAGCACCTTTTCTACCTATACGGGTACACTTTCTACAGGTACCTTGTCTACGGGGACATTTTCTACCGGTAAAAGTTCTACCGGTATCTTTTCTACTGGTACCTACTGTATCGGCGCTTACCTTTTCTACTGGCCCGCGTTTCTACCGGTAGCTTTTGTGCCTGTCCCTTTTTTACCGGCACCTTTTTTAGTGACGCCTTTTGTACCAGAGATACCGGTATCGAGCTTTGGTACCTTTTGTATCGGCATGTTCCTTTTCTACCGGTGCCCTTTCCCTTTACTAGCGGCTTTTTCTATATTCTTTTCGTTTGAGCTTGAGCTTATTCCTCTTCCGGCTTTCGTTTATACATGTTTTTTCCTTTCCCACTTTCCCGTTTCCCATCTCCATGGTCGTCTTCGCCGGTGACACCTCAGTGGCCTTAAGCCACTGTCCGCTACCTTTGCAGTTATCTAATTGCACTTTCACTCGCCATAAATTGCGATCCCACTTGATTTCGCTCACCGTTCCAAGCCATTCGCCACTGTCTTCCTTGGATTTGTTTAGGGAACTGGAAAAATACAAAATCTTCTCTAGAAGAGGGTTTGCCCGTAGAGAAAGTAGAAAAATTTCTTAAGTAACACTACGCCGTGCTTTCGAGCCCGAAGTCGGAGAGGTCCCACCGCCAGCGGACACGTTGCATGGTCGAAGCTGGACATGGCGGGATCTTCCCTCCTCCTCGCGCCAGCTTCTTTCCCATGGCAGCTCCAATCGGGAAGTGATGGGATTTTGGCTACGCTTGGAGAACTTGGGCCGTGAGCTGCAGCAAAAGTGAAAGTAGCGCAAGTATCATTCTACTAATGACCCTGTGCAAGTCACACTGATAGCTAACGCTGGCGACCAACCCTTAACCCTATCACCCCATCCTCTCATCCTCTCCTTTTCCTGTCCCATTTCTGTACTCTTCGTGTCCTCTTTCTGTCCTCTTCCTGTCTTCTTTCTGTCTTCTTCTTGTCCTTGTCCTGTTCTTTTCGTGTTCTTTTCATGTTCTTTTCGCGTCTTCTTCCTCTCCTTTTTGTGAAGTGTTTGTGTTCAATTGCTGTCCTGTTCGTGTCTTTCTCCTGTCACCTGTCCCTTTCCTCTCTTTTTCGTATCCTTTTCCTGTCCTCTTCCTGTCCTTTTCGTGTCTTTTTCTTGTTATCTTTCTGTCCTTTTCCTGTCATTGCCCTTTTCCCGTCCTTGTTCAGTTCTCTTCTTGTCCTTTTTGTGTTCTTTTCCTGTCCTCTTCCTGTCTTTTTTCCCAAGCGACCCCACAAGGACTCCAGAAGGACACCCCAGGAGAAAAATATCACTCAAAACGATACCGGGAGAAAAAGGTCGCCCGCCCTGCAAACAAGAAGGATTGCCAATCTTCAAAAGCAAAAGGAGCACTAGCACTTAAGGCGAGTTCGCTCTGGCAGTATTTATCGATAGTTCAAAGCAACACACCACCCGCTCAAAATTGGCCCATGATTCCTGAGCAACATGAGCAACATGGGCCATCCACTAGGTTATGTATCCCATACACTCCATGTATGGCATATTTGCCTACATTGGGGTGGTTTGGGGGGTCAATGTATAGGCATATATGGCAGTCCCATGGAGCGTCTGGGTTTTGCAACCGGTTGCTCTCGTGGCGATGATGTGCGGCCCGAATGCCGCCGCACGCCGGTCGCCCGCCGCCTGAGCAGGACGCCCTCGCCGTGCCGCCGCCGTCCGAGCCACTGCCCGGTGTAAACCTCGACGACTTGACGACGGGTCGCGGGTGGCGGGTGTCGAGCGACCGCTCGACGGACGGAGCGCGTGGTCCCCAAAGGACGAGGAAAAGATGGCACGGTGGGCCGACCACGGTTAGCTGGTGTAGGGGATCTACGACCTCCTATCGGGGTTATGGTAAAAATTTGGATCTATGACATCCATGACCGAATTTCTACGACCTCAGTGATCGGGTGACCCCATATGTGAAGGCACGTGTTGTTGTTCTCACGGAGAGCAAGGAGATGAGTGAGGGATGTGGTTCAGTGACGCGGTGTGAGACAAAGGTGGAGAACCATGTCATGGGTAATTGAGACAGGCATGTCACAGTCTGATTACATAGACCCCCAAATAGATAGACAAGTAGATCCCCACAAAAAAAAATACAAAAGGGAAAGAAACCGTGCCACTATCTATTTGGGGACCACCACTATATGTCTGATTGGACACTTGGATTGTCTGGAAATGTGAGAAGAGGGGGAGGTACAACGTCTACCGGACTCTAAGGTCCTACGTGCCTGCATTGGTTTACCAGTTTACCACACCAAACCACTGCATGGGGGTCGGTCTAGTGTAGGGACAAGTGAAGTCTCCCTAGCCACAGTGCCTTCGATGTGATGGATCATCCCGTCTATGGGAGTGTATACTTCCAATGCTCTACGCGAGCATAGAGTCACAGTCCTAGTCAACCAACATTGTATTTGCTTAGTCCATCAACATGAATCTTTCGAGTCGGAGTCCATGGACTGCCAGGACTGCCAAGAACCCTTGAACAACTATCTCCAAGTCTGGAAGATATGATATGGATTGCTTCAGGAATGCTGTACATGTTTAACATTCCTTCCTTCAAAAAAGACTAATGAAAACACAGGATTAATCAATCCCCCCCTAGTTAACCCGAGCCCACAAAGCCGCCGGAAATTGCCCAAATTAAAAGTATTATTGGCTGTTGATTTTCCCCCCCTATGGTCTAGTTTTCTACCAACAATCCCCCCCAGTTAATCCGAGCCCACAACCAGGTCAATTTTTCGTATTACTACTACTACTACTACTACTACTACTACTACTACTACTACTAACTACTACTACTACTACTACTACTACTACTACTACTACTGCTGCTGCTGCTGCTGCTGCTGCTGCTGCTGCTCCTGCTACTGCTACTGCTAATGCTACTGCTACTGCTACTGCTACTGCTACTACTGCTGCTGCTGCTGCTACTGCTACTGCTACTGCTACGTGCTACTACCACGACCACCACCACCACCACCGCCACCACCACCATCACCACCTACTACCTACTACATGTTTGATGAAATCCTTTAAAATGTCTAGGGCTCAGGGCCTATAAATTGCCTTATTAAAAACCATTTAAAAACAATCATTTGACAAGCTCACAAAGGGTACCCCTCACAAGGGCCGGTCCCCCATCAATAATCTGCACTACTACCCCCTATTAATTTGATCCTGTGTCCCTGGCCTTTTCTTTTTGTTTAAACTTGTTGTGACTACCTACTACCTACTACCTACTACCTACCTACTACCTACTACTACCTACTACCTACTACCGACGACGACTACTGCGACTACGATGGCTACCTGAGCCGATAATTCACGGGGGGTGGACCTCATGAGTGGTATCTCAGACCTTTTTGACCTTGTTGACCTACCATGTGGGGGGGGTTACTAATCCGGTCTATGCATTACACGACATCTCCAGGTCTTCACTCTTCGGTGTTCACCATTTCTTCGTCCCTTTCAAAGGATCGGCCCACCAACCAAAGAACCCCCGCCGCACCAAGTCCACCGCAACGACCCCCCCGGCCCAGCCCCAGCTCCTCCGGAACGGCCGCTCCGGTTCGGCAGCCGGTCCGGTGGTCGGGCGTCCGGGCGATGTGATGCTCCAGCTCCACGGGTCCTCGCTCATGAGGGCCCTGGCCGAGGTCCGCGGACCGGCGGAAGAGCGGGGTTCGGCAGAGTTTGTGGCGTGCATCAATGGGGGACTCATGCGATTCAATGGAAGAACTCAATTGGTAAGTTGTAGGGGAATTGATTGAATTAGCAATTAGCTTGTAAATGCTTATAATATCTTATGACGAGTTTATATTGCGTAACTCGTCTGACCTGGCCCACCAAACACCAAGGTTTCTACATGGTTCCCATTACACAATCCGACTGCCATAAACAAGTAGCAACTTATATAAGACATACAAGTAGAACCTCGAAACCACTCATCTTCACAGCCTCACTGACTAGAATCCAGCTGTGGGATGGGTTCATGAGACCAATATGAAACACCTATAGCCAATCTCCTACTTAGCTGATCTATTGAAGACCAATGGCACCGGTGGACACCATTTACCATCTCCAAGCCAACCGCTGACATCTCTGTCAGCAAATCAAACGAAGGGAGCTCCAGCGCCCCAACTCCAGGCCTCCGGCAGCTTGGTCGCATCGAAGACGGACGCAGTCTCAGGCCTATCGTCCCATGGACGACGGAACGACGGACCACGAAGCGAGGCCGGTGAAGCAAGGCATCCCAAAGCTCAACTCCTTGAAGTTCAGGGTCTCAGGGCCCCCCCGTTTTTCATCCTTTCGCTTGATGTCTTGATGTGAGGTTAGGGAGGGGTATGTGATAGATGATCTAGATGAGAAAGGCAAGAACCTCAGTTCCCGTGTTTGTACTTATAATTGTTGGCTTAAACAAATATGGCTCTCAAACACGTCATGTTCCTTCAAAAAGTTATGCCGGTTACCGTGTTTAAAGGCCAGGTTGCCCCCCCGAAGAAAACAAAAGCTCTAAATGATTCAGACCCCCGAGTGATTCAAAAACAAACTAGGTCCCGGCTGATAGACGGCCGTGGTGTAAGTCAATGATGGTCGTGGATGAATCAGCCCAACTTTTCATCAGTGGAATCAGGGTCAATTCCAAGCAGATTTGCCTGAAATGAGAGTTTCGCTGAGGCGAAATGCTGATTTCGAAGCATTTCATTTTCGAAACTACGTAACTAATTGGGCCGTCGGAAAAAGTTGCGACTTTTTCAGTCTTCACAAGAGCTCCTCCAAGCGGCGCAAGAACTGAGCCGGTGTGGCATAGGTCAAGCTTTGGCGCCAAGCCCACATGTACACGTACTGCTAGGTTGGCCGGCAAAAGAGCCTTTAAACTCTGCCAGCTTCTATCGAGCATCTGCGTACATCTTTGTAAACGGTCGGGCATAAACACGTTGCATCAACTTCATGCAGCAAGTGCAACCGAACGTTAACATGCCCCACCCCACCCCACCCCATTCCCACACGTAGCATCCACATCCCCCTCAAGCAAACATGCAAAAACGACAGCGTAGAAAACGACAAATCAAGAAAATGCAAGAAAACACCACGGCCGTCTATCAGCCGTGGGCCAACTACATACATGCTTTTGGCACCTCAAACACAACTTGTCAGCTCTTGTTACCCCAAACTTGCTGGTCTTCCCGAACGACATCGAACGACCATTAAAGTACCGGACGCACCGATTATAACTATTTTTGACTATGGGGCTTAGACTGGAAGGCTAAGGGGGGTAGGGTGACGACCTTCGCGAGCCAACACCGGAAGGTACTAATTGATCTGATTGAAGGTATACCAGCATGCTGTTGGGGGAACCGGGAAATCTGAGGCTGTATAGAATGTAAAACAAAATAGCAAACAGTGATCAGGAATGGAGTTTTGATCGTTTGGCCGCCAAACCCACCAACCGACTCAGCCATGGGATGAACATCCGACGCCGACACGCCGGCACGGCTCGACACAATCCTGTACTGGCAGCTCCGTCGACTGATGAGGCGGGTGGTGGATTTGTGGGATCCACCTGCCTCCTTGGGGATTTCACAGGTGGATGCCCAGATGAGGGGGGTGTCTGGGAATGAAAGTGACCTGTCGCCTGCCCGAAGGGCAGAACACGTCTGTCACGTCTCATGGACTCCTAACTTCACCCTCCACGTCTCAAATGCATCGGACCAATGGGCAAAAGAGAGATGTCAGAGGTTGCCAAGTGGACAACCCAAGAATGCCACAATTGTCAGAGCTGATTCAGAACTCATCAGAACTCCATACAACATGCTAGCCTGGTAATGCCTGATGAAGCAGGACACGAGTCACGCGGTGCCCACATGGTGCTTCAGATGTCCTGCGACTCCCTCACTCGAGGCCCTCAGTTCCCCTGAAACAGAATGGCTCACCTTGTTCCGCCTGTTCTCGTTGGATGGGGAAACCAATCCCCCCAACACAAGGTTCAAGGGGTTATGCACCAACTGGGTAATTAGTGATTACGATACTTAACATATATACACAATATACCAGGACCCTAAAGTGACCCTTTGATATCCCAGGATGAGGTCACTTAGGTCTGTACAAGGTCACGAAAATAGACTCCAAAGAGGTCACTTTGAAGGTCCTGGTATAATACTTTGAAACATGATTCCCATCCATTCACCGAATGACCTGCTTGTTTTGATAAGCTAATCTGTCCGTGTGTCCGAAGCAGCGACCGATGGCTAGCCGATGGCTGTCTTCCCCCAGGAGCCCCGGCAAGTTGAAGAAGAGGGAGTTGGTTGGCACTGCTTTGAGACCAGTCTCCTGACTCAGCTGGCCCAGTGAACCCATCTCTGGCGGGCGTCGTTTTCGGGACTGGACGCAGGGGGACGAGTGTTCGGTGGTTCTTTTGGGGCCAAGAAGCGGCTCCTGAGCCAAGGCACGAAGCCAGCAATTCAAGTCAAATGTTTTGAGCCAGAAGAACATTGAACACCAGTGACAAAGCTATTTTATATAAATAGTGTTTCCTTGTTTCCCTCTGCGGTAGACCTTCATCGCCATGCCATAGACTAGTTGCCCCTAGCAGATTGAAACACAACACCGTGTCAGAACGAGCGGATGGTTTCTGCCACCGCTGCGACCGCTTCGGACGTGACTGACACGTCGCGAAGCAGGCGGCGAACAGCAACGTCGCCTTTGAAAGGAAGTCGAGTCCCTCCAAAACAGGAGTTCAAACCCTCCTCAATGAGGAAAGTCATGGTGTTTTGTTTTTTTGTGTGTGGTTTTATTTTTTTCAATAGCACCCCACGCGTTGCACCCCAAGTCTTCCCCAAAGCTCCAGTCTTCGAAGACGAACGCTGGTTCCGGGTCCATCCAAACTTTCGCTGAGAAAGGACCGAACCGGAGCGACGAAGGGCGAGCAAAGATCGCTCAAATGCCTGCCTGAGAAAAGAACAGGAATTACACCGGCAAGGGACCCCAAATAGTGTAAAGAGGAACAGATGGAACATGGCATCACGTGGAAGGAAAGCAGGAGCACACAGATGAAAGCACAAATATGAGAGGAGACATACAAGAGCACAAATGGGAGAGTGCACAGATGAGAGCAGCAGATGCGGAAGCATGTGAAAGACCAGAGGGACCAGGCGTGAGGTTGTAAGCATGAGAGTGCGACCAACGTAGTGCCAAAAATGCTAGAGTAGTATGGCTTGAAGGTCGTTGTAAAACAAAAAGCTACGACTGCAGACGCGCATGTCTTCCGCGGTGGCAAGCTGCGAGTGCGTGCGATTGAAATTCAAAACCCTTCAAGAACATCTGCACATCGAGATTCACGAGCACAAATGCGAGCACACATATGAGAGCATATGGGAGCACATATGAGAGCACAAATGTGAGAGCACATACAAGCACAAATCTGAGAGCACATAGGCGAGTACATAGGAGCATTTCGAAGTTCACAATGTACCGCACCTGCCACGAAATCTGCACATCGAGGTTCACAAGTACTGCGCCTGCCACGAAATCTGCACATCGAGGTTCACAATGTACTGCGCCTGCCACGAAATCTGCACATCGAGCTTCACAAAGTGCTGCGCCTGCCACGAAATCTGCACATCGAGATGCACAAAGTGCTGCGCCTGCCACGAAATCTGCACATCGAGATTCACAA